TATTCTAGTCTTCCTTACTGCTCCACGCCGAAATGGCATGGCGCCCATCACTAGGTCTTATTAACAGGGTAGGGCTTATATTTAACAAATGCATAGAAATCCTGCTAGGGCTTATTTTGGGGGTAGGTCTTATTTTCGGAGAAACACAGTAGTAGTAGTAGTAACAGAGCTCATTTAGGTTTGTTGGTTTTTTTATTATGAAACATTTTTTATTACAGGAATGTAAAGGTTGTCAATAGGAAGCTACACTTAGTGTCTTAATGTGAGAATCTGGGGAAGGTTGAAAAAGAGCAAAGCTAGGAAGTATAGAGAGTGAAGATAGTCTAGCTGAACTGTCACTGCTGAAGCTGAGACTATGGTAGTTAAATTTACAAAGTGAATGGAGGAGGTCCTATTCTTTTGTCCATATTTACTCTCCATGTTGAGTTGAAGGAGGCTTTTATTTTTTTATTTTCAGTTAATGTGAGGATACAAACTAGGTTACAATGTTTGCATTTGTTAGGTAGAGTCCCTCTTGTAGTTATGTCCTGCACCCAAGAGGTGTGCCATATACCCTTACATTGTGCCTATTAAGTGGGAGCACACCAGTCCCTCTCCTTCCTCCCCTCTCCTCTTTCCCTCATTCCCCCCCATCTTGAATTGAATTGAGTTTTTCTCTTATGTGGGTGTGTATTAGATCTTCTACTGGCTTCATATTAGTATTGAATACACTGGATACTTATTTTTACATTCTTGTTATACTTTACAAGTAGCTCAGTGGGTGGGGCACCAGCCACCTACACCCAGGCTGGCGGGTTCGAACCTAGCCTGGGGCTACTAAAAAACAATGACAAATGCAACAACAATGACAAAAAAAAAAAAATAGCGGGGTGTTGTGGCTGGTGCCTGTATTCTCAGCTGGTCCCAGCTGCTTGGGAGGCTGAGGCAAGAGAATAGCTTAAGCCAAGAGTTTGAGGTTGCTGTGAGCTGTGAGTCCACAGCGTTCAACCCAGGGCGACATAGTGAGACTCTGTCTCAAAAAAACAAAAAGAAGAATGTGTTTCAGCTCCATCCATGGAATGTACAATACCATGGAATACTATTTAGCCATAAAAACAAGGCAGTTTTTAGGAATGATGATTGCTCTTCAGCTATTCATCATGGTATTCAACTTTTTGAAGTACTTAGATTTGCTTGTAGCTTTCTGTAGACAATTCTCCAAAATAAATGGATCCTTAAACAAATGTATAACATTAAGCCTTACTGCGTGTCAGTTGTTGTATTGGGTATTGAGGATACAGAGAGAAACTGGATGGTTCTTCTGGCTTTTTTTTTGCAGTTTTTGGTCGGGGCCAGGTTGGAACCCTCAACTTCCGGTATATGGGGCCAGCGCCTTACTCCTTTGAGCCACAGGTGCCACCCAGTTCTTCTTGCTTTTGATTGTTATAAACAGATAATTAGAATAAACTGTGATAAGTGTTGTATCATCGTGAATCTATTATGACCGGACTCCAGACTAGACTATTGCTACTTTTGAAGTGGCCACACAAGCAATGGGCTATGACTCCTTCCTTTTGGATTGTAGATCAAAGATCAGTCTGCTGTTTCACCCTTGTGCATTATGAGTGCCTTGCACAGAATTAGCAGAATTAGGCACTCAGTTAATGCTTTTTGATTTTTTTTTTTTTTTTTTTTGAGA